CCCGGCCGTGCAGGCCTGTCCCTACCGCTGTGCTCCCCTAACGCTCACCGCCCTTCTGGGCGTGACGAAGCCTAGCTCACTTTTCCCTGTGCCGCCAGTGAAGACTGAAAACAGAGGTCCTTCCCCGTAAGGGTTTGACCTGTGTGTTACGTGCATCACTTTGCCCATGGCAGTCCTGCTGCTGGGTCTCACTGATCAGAATGTGGCTACAGCTCAGTCACAAGGAAGGCTGTGAAGCGTGGTGTTTCTTTTCAGTGCTCATCACACAGTCTTCCAAGGATTCTCTCGCTCAAGAAGAGTCGGGGAAGCGGACGCTGGAATCCAGCTTCTCAGTACTCTGCACTTAGTGTAGTACAGAAGAGAAGGGTGTCATTACCTAAATGAGTACTCACACTTAAGGACGAGAAGGTGAGAGCCAGAAACTCAGTGCGATCCTCCAGGTCATCCAGCTAGTTTAGTGGTAGATTGAGTGCCAGGAATTGTCTCTAAATTAGTGTATCACAGCACTTGTATCACGGTAATGCCACGGTTCTGAGCGTTGGTATACCATTTAACAGTTCGCGATACATACAATAACGTCATACGCGGTACTGTTTCATTTGAACCCTCTGAGAAGTGCACGGCATGGAAAGCCTTTGGTATTACCTTGCGCTCTGGATGGGAAGCGGGCTTAGCGTCTGCTGTCATGGAAACCGTATCGCTCCTGTAAGGGCTGATGGCGTCTTACCAGCACCTTCCCATTACTTACTGTTTTCCGTTTCTAAAGTAATTGCTGTTCATTCTTGTATTCTTAAGATAACTCTGAAGGGTCATAAAGTAAGAGTTACACTGACTGTATTCAAGCAGCCGGCGTGTAAGGGCTATATTCAGAGCTTCACCCTTCGAAATCTGGCCTCCGACCCTGCCCCGCCTTGCCTGTGTGTGTCGGTTGCATTTAGCGGCACGGAGAGTAAGTCTGAGCACAGCGCCTCAGCGAGCTCGGGGCCTCTCTTCTCCCCCAGTCGGATGGCAGAAAGTGCTTTAGTGACCTCGGGGTGACTCCGCTCCCCTTTCCCAGGAGAAGGGAGCTTTGTGCACCTCGTAAAGGTGAGTCCTCCTCCTTGCCATGAAGTACTTTGTGGGCAGGATGAAAGGGAAGAACGAAGCACAGAGCGTCGACCTCAGAATTTTTCATATCGAGAAAAAATAACTTGAAACCCTAAGCCTGATTCATTGAACCGCTACATTTAATGAACACTGCTGAGGGTCACATAGCACCTTTAGCTGTAAACAGAGCTTGCTACTCAAGAAAGATTGGGGGGTGCGGGGATATAGCTCTTCAAACAAGCACCTGCCGGGCAAGCACAAGGTCCTGAGTTCGATTCCCAGTACCAAAAGAGAAAGGAAAGGAAGAATGGAATTTCACTAAGGGGAATGAGGGGCAGTTGGTACTAGAGAGGCAAACAGATGCACATCCTGTGGGCCTGGGTTTCCACTTCTCTGCTTTTAGGGGGAAGAGCAGGGATAATACACTGCAAATCACTTACACTTCAGTAAAGTGCATCCCCTCCCCCATAGGCTTGGCCACCTTAAAGAAGCTAAATGCGTAACAGTTTGTTTGCAAAGTGTCCTTTTAAATTAGCGTCTTAGTTACTTTTCTCCTCGCTGAGACAAAACACCAGACAGCCACAAGTTACGGGAGGAAAGGTTTATCCTGTTTTACAGTCTAGAGCTTTCAGTCTGTCGGTTGCGAAGAGAAGTAGTCCGTGGCAGGACAGGCAGGAAGCAGCGAAGCAGGAGGCAGCAGCAGCCAGCCTCCTTTCCCTTGTACCCGTCCTGGCTACATGCCTTTAGTGGTGTCGTCCACACCCAGAAGTGTATAAACCAGTTAGTGGACTAATACATTGCAGGACACCCTTAGTCCCAGAGTCACGCCTTAGTCTGAGGTCACACACCCCCGATCGGCCACCTGCGGAGGCGCCACTTGTGACACGTGAGACTTTGAGGGGCGTCTAGACGCAGCCAGAGAGTGAGCCGTGAAGCGTCAGCCGTGTGTGGTGCGGTTCACGGCCTGCCCAGCGCCTTGGAGCACAGAAGTACCTGCCCGTTAGCAGCACGGAAGAGTCAGAATGTCCGGAGTGTGGCTGACCTTTCTTTCCGCTTGGAGGGTTTGTTTGCCTGCGCCTGCCTTCTCGGGGGTTATTTTCAGACCCAGAGTGTGTGTGGATGTTGGCAGAGTACCAGTTACCAAGTATTGTGTGTTCACCAGAATTCCGCTGTATTTAACTAGAAATGGAACTGATCGTGTTGTTCCCATTACAGCAGAAATGGGAGAACAGCCTGTCAGAATTCCTACGAGACTTTATAATGAATTCCTTGAGTTTGCTGTTCTTTAACATAAGCCATCCCTAAATGTATTCCTTCAGTAGGGGTTTGTAGCTGTTAAAAAAGAAGTCAGTGGGGTTTCTGTATCGGAAGGTATCAACCCGTTGTTATTTCCCACCCGCCCTTCTTAGCACGTCTTACCAAGGCAGTGATACTGCGGTTCGCGAACCTAATTCTTTCCATATTCTGGCTGTGGCTAGGATTGTCCAATCAGTGAAGTTCCCGCCCCAAGGTACCACTGTCACTTAAGCAGTCTCTATCCGCTGTCCTGTCAGCACCGCCGCCTCCTCCTCAGTCATTGTATTGAAGCACCTGCTGTGCTCTTTGTATGTGTCCATGTAACTGTCACACATAATCCATAGGCCTGTGTGGAGTTACAATTCTGAATTGTAATTCTTATTCAAAATTACTCTGATACCGCTTCAGATACACTGGTTTTATTCACTTGCGCAATACTGACCTCTAGAGATGCAGCATTGTAAGTTCACTAAAAGGTAAAACTATTTTTGACATTTTTTTGGAGAAATTTTGGCTTTTTCTATCATCATTTTTTTACTTGCATTATGAATAATTTTAAACAAAATTATATGAGTATGGCATGTAGATTGAACAGTTAATACATTGCTGGATTTTTTGTTTTACCTGATTACATTAAGGAAGATGTTAAGGGTCGTAACATTTTAACCCTGTGTTCTTCACAAGGCATCTGTAAGGGCATTTTTCCGCAGAAGAGCAGTGCTGTTAAATACTAAAATCAGCAGCGATTCCCTAATTGATATCAGATAGTCAGGTTTCCCCAGTTACTCCTCAAGTGGATTACCAGTGGCTGATGACCGCACACCGAGGTCTGGTCAGTGGTACCTTTTTCCTTGTTTATTTAAGTTGCTGTGTTTAATTTCCTTAAGCTGGAACAACTTCAGCTCTTCTTTACCCCTGCGACACTGACCTGAGAGCAGCTCGTTTCTTCTGTGGAGCATCCTCTCTTTGGGATTTATCTTGTTTTATAAGAGTGGCTTTTAACTCGTATCATTTGACCGTGTCTCCTTCTCACTATTAGTGATGCTCAGATGGTTAAAGTGATCGTCACTAGAACTCTGAGTTATAAAATTATTTTTATTTTCTGGCTATCAGCTGGTCACCCAGGGACATATTTTGACATCAGTTGAACTCTGTTTTCTGTTAAACCCTTCAAAATAATTTTAACATCTATGAAGGATATTACAAAAGGAGATTTTCCAAATCTCTTGTATTTTCTAAACATGTTGAACTTTCTCCATCAGCTGGACTTGCATGACATGTATTTTCTTTTAGAAATGCAGGATAAATTAAATAATTTTTTCCTTAATGTATCAATTTTCAGAATAAGCAATTAATGCAAACTACCTCCAACTATGAAAAGAAATTTCAGTGGGTGGGAAGGAACAGGCTCTTTTTAAAAAAAAAATTACATCTCGTGAACTTATATGTTCAGCATGGTTCAGAAACTGCAGTTAATACTTTTAAATGTGTTCTTTTTTTTCCTGCTCACTTTTACTAATTATCTTTTACCTATTACCTTTTTTTCTGTATATAGTATTATGTAGTCCTTTTCTTTAGACATTTCGGCTAGTTCTCTGCTAAAAACAATATAGCTTATTTCAGCTTCGCACTTGACAACCATCCCATGTTAGTCATTCATTTTTTTCAATTTTAAACTCTACTATTCAGCTCATCAGACTGATATGTTGTCCTTTGACTCTCAGCAATCAGCTGTGTGATAACATTTAACATCTTTATTTTCCCATTTTATTTCCATCTTTGGTATCCTTTCAGATATGTTTTTATATTTATTCAGTGTTAGCCAGCAGTGCTTTTGCCAAAGGTTTCCCAGTCATCCTTGATTGGGTGAAACCTGTCCTCTAATAGATTGCTTGTAGCTCATGGGTTTAATATTACTTGAGAACATGTTAAACTTTTTCTACAGCTTTGGTACTTGGAAGACTACTTGACTAGTTATGAACACTTTGGTCTGTCCTGTATTAGTGTCTTAGTACTGTCGTAATAAGTTACCACAGCTAGATGGCTTAAAGTAGCAGGAACTTCACCCTGTTGGAGTTCAAGAGGTCAGAAGTGTGGTAACAAGAAGTGAACAGGACGACGCTCTCTGCAGGAGGGGCAGCAGTCCTTCCTTTCTTCCGCCTTGTGTTGGCTGCAGAAGTTGTTTGCATTTCTTGGTTCGTGATGCGGTCCCTGCCGGGCTCCCGTCTCTGCCTCTGTCTTTACACGGTGGTCTCCTGCTGTCTCCTCTCTTCGTATTAGAGCTTCAGTCATTAGGTGTAAGGCCCACTCGAATCCTGGATGATCTCACTGGTTACATCTGCGGAGACTCCGCTTCCAAATAAAGTCCCGTTCTGAAAGTCCCAGGCGGACGTGGGCTTCGGTAGGACACTATTCTCTGTGCCCCTTTTGCTTTGTAGAAGTTGTTGGACTGGGGGTGTAGCTGTATGTGTTCACTGTTGTTGGTGAGCAGGGCGATACTGTACTGATTTTCATGCCTTTGTAAGGGACTTATTTTTTGCTTGGAGTAAATACAAAAGAACTTTATATTTAAAATCTAATAATACAACTGTTATGTTTTAGAATTGACCTTATAGGCAGATTTCCAGGTACTCAGAATGCCTGTTAGTATAGGGATTTTGGTCCTTTCTTACTTCAGGGACGTTTTATGAAACAGTTAAGATTTCATTGTTAGCCCTGCACATAAATATAGGTGACTATATTTATGCCATAGTAAGTGACAGATCAGTAATCTAATTGGTATCATTGAGTGAGTTTGTTATTTTGAGCAGTTTGATAGGCAGTGAAGAAAACTTGCAAACTGAGAATAACATCTCACACCGTCCCTGGGGTTGTCTTTGCCCCTTTAAAATTCTGTTCATTTTGAGATCTGAGTCTTTTTCTTTTTGTACTCCTGATAAAACAGAATGGAATGCTAACTCATTTACCTTTTCATTTTGTTTATAAAGTTAGGAAGTTGAGCCAGTATGCAAATAAATGAAACCATGAGTATATCAGAGGTGGAGAAGATAGGGGAGAAAAATCAACTTCAAAGTTTGAGTTACCCGCGAATGTTAAGATTCTCTCACAGATTGGGTTCCCCAGGAGTCAGACTTTGAGGGATTAGCATGCTAGATGTTTACCGGAGAGCGCTGGGTCAGATTTGTCCAGGGAGAGAAGGAAGCGTCGATGCGGAGAGGTCAGGCTGCAGCGCAGTCTCAGCAGAGGCTCAGCCGGGACCCTGGGAGAACTCTGCGGCGTGGGAGTTCTTAGGCCAGATGCTTTGTAGCTTCTCTCTAACTGCAGAGTTACGTGGCCTTTCTTCAGCTTGGTCTTAAAGTATTGTCTATTTTACTGTTTAAAAAACGTTATGTTGGTCGGAAGAAAAAAATAAAGCATTGTCCTTTGGGGAAGAGTACAGATAATCTGTAGAGTACGTTTCCTTCGGTCGCTTGGTGCTGTGAGCTCTGAAGAGTGTGACGTTTTTCTTTAAAGCTCTGGTACTATTAATGTACGTTTGCTTTTCAGCTTGGGCCATGGTAGATGGTGGTTCGAATGTGAAGCCCCGCTCTTCCTATAACGAGAAGACCCCGAGGATCATTGTGTCTCGCTCCCATACAGGGATGGTCAAGCAGGTTGCTCTGCAGACCTTCGGAAACCAGACGACGATCATCTCGGCTGGTGGCGCTGGTACGTTTCCCCTCTCTTTCGATTCCAGCGCGTGTTTCCACATGGGCAGCCTGTGTCAGGAGACGGATACGTCTGTCCCGTGCCTGGCAAAGAAGTGAGAAAGAACAGTGTGTTTTCAAACCAGATTCGGTCTCCTACTTGGTAATCGCCAGGGTGGGATTTCCGCGGCATGGGCTGTGCCAGAAGGAAACAGTCTCACAGCAGTGACTTCCCTTTCTAAATACTGAAAAGCGCCCTTCCCATCAGTCACGTACCATCAGTGGTTGCTTTTTATATGTGCTGACTTCAAAATAATTGTCCCTTAGTTTATGAGGGACAGGATGAAAAATAAAGCGTGTAAGATGTCTCATACGGCAGAAGGAATCCAGGAGTCATCCTAGCTATTACCTGGTACATGTGGGGTCGACAACAAAGCTATGTTTCCACCCAGCTTAGCATTTTACCACCTCTTGTAGAGCAAAGGGTAGCCCACTTTTTCTGAAAAAGGCCAGATAGTAAATATTTCAGCCCTTGGGAGCCACACACAGTCTTTGTTGCATACTGCTTTTTGATTTTTTAAAAACTTCTTATTTTGAGACAATACAAAAACAGACCATGATCTGTATTTGGCTTGAGGGGCCATTTGATGATTCCGGTTATGAGTTCTGTTTAACGTGTCAGAAGTTTTAATTTAGGTAAGTAGCAAATTGTGGTTAGAAAACCTTCGTGTTGGAATATCTTTCCAACACAGAAGTAGAGGAGGAAGTGATGCTTGCTTACTTTTTTAAGCTTATAATTTAATTTGCTAATCCTTTGTATTTACCTTCCTTAATATTTACTTATAGGGTTTTTTAGGTTGGTTAGGAAAGATAATGTCCAATATGCCCAGTAGAGATGAGTTAAACTAGATTCTACGTCTAGTCTGCATCTCTTTTATTTACTTTTTATTCAAATTTAAGGCGGTAGCATTAGTTTTTGTTCTTTAAATCAGGTCTTCCCCAGTGTTTAAGTGAAACAGGAAGGTGTTTAGCTTCAGCACAGTGTGCCTTCCTTAGCAAACGGCACATGCTGATTGACATATCACTCCATAAAAACAACCACAGTGAGGGATTTAACAATTACACGTCTGATGATACATGTTTTTGCCCCGTTGAGTTTAATGTTTGCATTGTTCCGTGTGAAAATATTTGGAAACAGTCTTAGACTTCCCGTGCGCTTTGCAGAGGCAGCACAGTGAGCTGAACACCGTCTCCGAGTCTTTTCAACCATGTGTTTAATAAAACGTTTACTCTGCTTTCGTAAAATGCTGTGAGCAGTAATCTACATTCTGTGTTTATCTTTCAGGTTATAAAGTTTTAGCACTCTTAGATGTCCTTGATAAGAGCCAAGAAAAAGCTGATATATATATCCATGTGACATACATTAAAAAGTGGGATATATGTGCTGGAAATGCCATCTTAAAAGCCCTTGGGGGACATATGACCACCCTGAGTGGTGAAGAAATCACTTACACCGGATCAGACGGCATTGAAGGTGGACTCCTTGCTAGTATCAGAATGAATCACCAGGCTCTGGTCAGAAAACTCCCAGATCTAGAAAAGACAGGACCTAAGTAAGCATAACGGATGACAGGGTGCAGCTTCCAGACCTGAGATGCTGGCAGCTTCAGAGGATTGCTGGAGACTGCATGGTCAGGGCCGTCTCAGACGTTTTAAAGTATTTATGAAGCATCGGAGACTTCATTTTCCCTCTAATAGGATGCAAGATCAGGGAAAATGAGTTGCTTCATGTCTCAAGTATTGTCTTTATTTTTGAGACTATTTTCGTACAGTTGTCATACACGAGCCGCATATATATATTTGTGAATTAAAATCTATAGCTGAGTCTACATTGTTATATGAGTCACCATTTTCACACATGAATCCATTTTCACACACTATTTGTTAATATTTTCATATAGAACTGAGTTGAAAGAAGGATTGGTTTTGTGTAGAGGTTTAATTTTACAGTTATATCTCATCGAAAATAAAGTAATTGGGGACTTCCACTCCTAACTCAGATAGAAAGCACAAGAAGCCACACATTCATTAATACGCAGCAGATGCTGTACTCACATTACTGAATATTTCTGTGGATTGAACTAGAAAAAGTTTAAATTGATTTTTTTTTCAGATTTTAATAACAGGTTCACCAGCTAATAGAAAATACAAACAAATGGTAGTTTTCATTGTCTGTGTAATTTTCCCTATGTGCGTTGTGTTTTGTTTTTATAAAAAAGTGTGTGTACTCATACGTTTTACATTCTGCCACGTTGCTGTTGATTTTCATTTTACTTGTGGAAGATGCATGGTTCCATCCTTTCCCTCCTGACCAGCATTTAATCCCTAACTCCTGAGGTCTGGTTTTAGGTTTCTGGGTTAACACTTACCAGTTGTGGTACATTTTCTCATTAGGGATGTAATGTGCTATAAGGCACTGCAAGACTAGAGGGGACTCGATTATAATTGAAAATTACTTGACATAACATGGTTTGAATTAGTTTTTATTATTTTCAGGAACTTTGTTTTACTCAGTTTTAAAAGATTTGCCAGGTTTGTGTATAAAGATTCTCTTAATATCAAGAATGAGTATGATTGCTTTTGCCGTAGTTGCTTTTACTATTAATAATTATACCTAACCTAAACAAACTCAAAGTAGTGCTAGAAATAGTCTGTAGTTTCCCATCAGGTTATAATAATAAAAATTAACACTTCTTTCTCTCTCTCTCTTTTTTTTTTGTGGTGCTGGGGATAGAACCCAAGGAATCAGTGTTAGGCAAGTGCTCTACCACTGAACTGTATCCACAGTCTCAGAGTTACTTCTTGATGAAATTTGTCTCTGTAAATTAGCAGAGAATGGTTGGAAAAAAGTTGTGATGTAGTCATTGCGTTGCCATCACTGCAGCCCTTTTCATGGGCTTTCATCGGCACCTGTGGTCTCTCTCAGTGTGATGTCCGGAAACCGTGTAATGAACAGTACTCTTATTTCATGTGGCTTTAATGCCTTGGTATTCTCTAACACTGATAAATAGAGGACTTTCTTACGGTTTCTTTCTCTTTTTTTATCCTTCTAAAAAATTTTTAGCCCTAAAGTATTTATTTTCTATCTTTGAGGTAAAATTGAGCAAAGAATGTACAGTCTAGCCTGGTAGAAATGCATACTTCAAGTTTGCATGGTACAGTCTCTAAGGACCCTTGAGCTCCTCATTTGCGAACTGAGTCTAGCGCGCCCGGACGTCCCGGTTTCCAGCACCTACTCACACATCCACGTTAGGCAGGCTTTTGTTCGGTGGAAGTTTGTTTAAAGTTCTCATACTTGGAACCCTTGACATTTAAAAGAGGACTGGGGAATTGTGAAACGAGTATCAGAGACCTCATCGTTCCACTTCAAAATCCTTTTTCTCAGGAAAGAAGACAGGCATACACTGTTACCAGGGTCCTATAGTGTAAGCATTTGTTTTAATTGACAAAGGGAAATGGGACTGACAAGAGGTGGAATTTATTAGAGTTTAAAAATACTATGAGGAAATTTTATGATTTAATGGAAACAGTGCTTGCTAATGGCAACATGATTGCTTTAATTTCACTGTTAAGAAAGTATGCTTTTTATCTCAGATCAGCTGTGACCTCTGAGGAGGCAGCGTCATTAGTTTTTCATAACTGAGGGTGTGAAGGATGTGTGTTTTATGCAAAAATCAAGATACTGGCTGAGAGTTAAGTACATTATTTTTATAATTTGGGGTTATAGTGTAGTTACTAATTATTTGTAAGTAATTTTATAAAAAGTTCATTTTTAAAATTTTATTTCTAAGAGCCATTATACATTATAAGGAACAGTATTTATATTTATTTATATGAGACATTATGGTGCCAGAACATCAGTGAAACACCTTCATAAGCAGGGCATGCGCTATCTCCTAGAATTCCACAGTTGTTATTAAAACGTAGAAGAACATGCACAGTTTGCTTTTAGTGATTCCCACCTCCCCAAATTCCTGGCCTGCCTTAGAGGGTATTTTTCACTTAAAACTGAATTTTTACACATTGTAGTGGAATCGGTGACAGCGATAACCTCAGCCTCCATCAGCCGTGCTCTGTTCCTCCTCCTCTTCCCTGCCTTGCTCCTGTCTCTTGCCTGTTGGGCTGCTTTGTAGCCAGTTTACCCCCCCCCCTGCTGTTCACCCCTAAATTCTTGGATGTAATTGTTTTCTCTCAAGAGTGGCTGTTGGAATCTTTGGTAGAGCTGAGGCTGTGGCCAGTTCCTAGTGAGCAAGGTCAGTCGTGATGGAAGCTGAATTAACCACCGCTTTTCAAAGACTGTAGAAAGTAAAGGAAAATCACCTTTAAAGCCACAGACTCCTAAGTTGTCACGTCGAATCCAATACTAAAATCTTTACACAGAGAACTTCTTCCTGCCCGCCTGCCAAGAATGGAGCATAGAGAATCGGAAGGAGTTGGACAGAGGAGCCTGTCCTGCTGGTTTTCCTCCCTGGATCCCCCAGGTCAGCTGAGTTTACAAGGGCGAGCGAGATGGGAATACTTGTCTTCGAAGTGTGTCCGGCCCTGCCGCCACCGCCACCCCTGTAGTGCTGCTTGATTTTCAGCCAGTAATACGCAGATGGCTTTTTCGTGAGGTATCATGAAGTAACAAGAGCATTTTGGTTTATGTTTTCTGAGCAGCAGTTGTGCCCACGGTCTGGTGGGTGCTCCCTTTGAGTGTGTTTTGCACGTAGTGTCCGAGGAGATGGTGCGGGACCGCGGCCGAGAAGAGGGTCGGAAGGGCCACTGAGGGAGTCGGGAGGCGCCGAGGGAGGGTGCGGAGCAAGCATCGGTCCCGCCCGAGGGGCAGCCGCTCTGCCCGCCGCGCAGGTGCTAAATTCAAGCTTGGATCTTGCTTGTGCCGTGAGAGGTGACAGTTGCCTCCCAGGACCCGAGTGTAAGTGGAGAAGACGGTGGCACCGCAGAGAAGCGCTCAGCCTGCTCCCGGAGCACCGCGTTGCTGGCCCCGGCCCCGCGGAGACGGCCTGGTGGGCTCCCGCAGAGCTGTTGCGGGGTGTTAGCTGCAGCTCACTGGGGAGGCTGTGTGATGGTTGCTTCTAGATAGAAACGGTGACTTTAATTTTAGATCTTGGCGGGATCTAAGTTGTGTTTAATTAAATGCCTACAAGAACTTGGTCTTATAACTATTGCGTAAAATAAACCTAATCAGTGGCTCCATTTTTATCCTAAAAAAAAAGCTGTGCCTTAAAAATAGGGCATTGCATGTTACTACGGGAAAACAAAAGCTTTTTTTAATAGAGGGGGAAACTAGGAACTTTGGCCATTAAAATTTAAGTTCTGGGTTTTTAATATTAAAGTTGAAGAAACTTCATTAAATTTAAAGTTGATATGAAATTATTTTTGCATAATCTAACATTTAAAGCTAAAATACATTTTTATAAGAACTGGCATCTTGATGTATATAGGTCTGAAATGATACTTCATCTTTTGAGTTTTAATTTAAATTAATATAAGACCAGGATAACATTTTTATGAATTTTATTTTTAAATAAATATTTCAGTGTGCTGATATATCTGTTCTCATCCCCTAGAGTCATTTTGATTAAAAAAAATAGTTCTTTATTCAGATAGCATGTCAGCTGTTTATTAATGTTAACACAGTGTGTTACATGATGTAGCAGTTTCTGGAGAGGAGAGATGATAATTCCACCAGCTGTCACTGAGGGGAAGAGTCACATTCTGTACGTGGAAGGATGTGTGGCTGTATGAGATGCCGGTGATGTAACTTGTTCATTTCATTTCATCAGAGCCTGGCTGGTATATACATTCCAATTTACCATTCGTAGAGCTCGTTTTTAAAAAAAAATTTTAAGTTGATTATTGGTGAATTAATTTTGTGGAAAATGTGATTTAGTTGTTTTCCTTTGAGATAATACAAGCCAAACGTTAAGAAGGATGATGAATAATATTAAAAGATACTGTTACAGACTGTGTTTGTGAGAGTTCCCTAAAGTGTTATTACATAGTAATGTAATTTGTGTAAACTATAGGAGCATAAACTGATATTTGATAGTATGTTCCATCACGTTTCTTTTTGAGGTGTAATACACACACTTTTTGTTCAGGAATGAGTATTTTCTTTCTGTATTTTCTTAAATAGGAAAGGAAGCACACTAAGTTATTGTGAAGTCAGTTTACTCACAAAAGGATGTCATGTATCTTCCAATGAGCTCATCCCGTCTTCTTGAGCAGCGGTGTAGTGTTAAGGAGGAAACATTTATGGACTTTTAATTTTTACATATCCCCTCCTAGCGGTAGCTGATACTTCTTCAGTCTCTCAGAGGAATCCATATTCTCCATGGTGAACCGTGACATTGCCAGGGCTTGTGCTGCTCTTCGGCAGTGTTAACTTGAACAGCTCTAGCACATGTGCATCCACGGGTTGGATTTGTGCTGAAATGGTGTGTTTTCTGTCTGTCTCTTCCAGCTTTGTGTTTTGTCATCCTCACTTCCTGTTAATCCATGTCTTAAATTGGACCAACAATAATGAGAAATTTTAAAAACCGTACCTGTGAGCACTCCGTCCCCTTTCACACTTTTTAAAACCCCCGAGGAGCTATGCTGTGTCTTCGTGGAGGTGCTTTGCCAGCACTTCCTGTGCTGTGACCTGCTTAATCCGCCCGTGCAATTTCGTGAGGTCTGACTCCACCCTTTCCTGGAAATAAGCTGTTCCCCTCCATGGCTTGCCCGCCTTTATTTTTCTTTTGTATCTCACCTAACAGCGCCACTTTTATATGTGTTGTTGCTAGACTGTAAACTTACGTAGTGAGGCTGCACCTAGGTGATTTTTATGCTTTCACGTCAACCCCAGCACCTGGCCCAGTGTCTTGCACAAAGTAGGTGCTTAGTGTAGAACTAAATCGACCTAAAGGTTGCTACTTAGTGTTGCCGTGTTTCATACTTCATTTGTTATTAGCTGGTTGTTTGTTTCTTTTGCAAACGTTTATGATTATCACCCTCCTCACACAAGTATTTTTAAAAAGTTTTGCTTTTCCTTCAGATGCTATGCTATAACCAATAAACTAGAACGTGTGATTGCTTCTAAGGACATAATTACTCCGAACTGCCCCTGGATATACTTTGCCAAATGAAATTTGAATTCTCTAAATAAATTGCTTATGTCTGAAAAAGTGTGCTGCATCTGCTTGTTTTTTTCTGTTGTGATAAAACAGAAGTTAACCATTCTAAGCATTTTGAAGTGTACAATTCATTGGCAGTAAATACTTTAACAGTGTTGTGCAGTCCCAATCACTGTCCACTTCCAGAACGCGGAAACTACACCCATTGAAGACTGACTCCCCATTCTCCCTTGCTCCCACCAGCCCTTGGTATTCTCCGTTCTACCTTTTGTCTCTCTGAAGATAAGAGCATCTGCTTTTGAACTCCTGAAGTGAGATTCGGTGTCCTCATACACAGAAGTCACCTGTTTGAGGATGAATGTAACAGCCAAACTGTTGACTACTTTCACTTTTTAAAGTGAGGGTAGAGGGGCCGGGGATTTAGCTCAGCAGCACAGCGCCTGCCTGGCAAGCGCAAGGTCAAGAGTTCGATTCCTGGTACCAGAAAAAAAAACAAACAAACAAAAAATGAGGGTAGAAAGAAGTACAAAAGACAGTGTAGGAACATGTATTCGTTTTTAGCTTTTTGTGTTTAGCTCCAGCTCCAGAGGTTCCGGGGCAGGCATTGTTTCCGCTGGGCTCTGGTGAAGGTGTGGTTCATGGTATGGTGGGAGGAGGCCAGAGGCAGGAGGCTAGAAAGTCGCTTAGGGTCAGCCTCCAGCTTTCTGAATGACACGTTCTCCACAGCTGGTTCAGGCTTGCTGCAAAACTCTTCTCTTCTGAAGGCAGGGCGTCTGGTGATGCTTCTCCAGTGTCTTAGTTACTTTCTTGGGGCTGAGGATACCTGACACAAAACGTAAAGGATGAGAGCTTTACTTCGGTTCCTGTTTTCAGTCCGCTGGCCCCATTGGCAGAAAGACCTGGAAAGGAAAAGCTGCTCACGTCGGGCCTGTCAGGAGAACGGAGCAGGGTGGTGGTAGTGGGTGGGGGGTGTTGATATCTTCCAGTTTCCCCAGTGACTTCTCACCAGGCCCTGGTCTCCTAAGCTGTTCAGCTGTTGCACCCCCATGATTCAGCTACCTTTCAGTCGCGTTTGAGTACGTGAGGCTTTCGGGGAACACGGCCAAAACCCAGGTGAGTAGGCTGCACCATCTCACGCCTCCACACTGGAGACCGAGCGTCCGGCACGTGAGCCCTTGAGGGACAAACCACGTCCAAACCAGTCAGGTAGCGATGAGGGTGTCCAAAGCTTCTGGGGTGAGGCCTGTGGATGATGCGCGGACATTGTCCAGGCTGAGGATTTTGAGTTTGTGGTTTCGTTCTCCCCGAGGTCGAAACAAGCTTAGGAGTGGCAAGGCTGCTCATTCTGTCGCTGGCAAGCTACCTGCTTACTGATTTTGAGAACCGTTTTTTTTTACATTTGTTTAATTTCTTCAGCAACTAGTCCTACGTACAAGTTGGCACTGCTTCAGAGGCACAGCTTGTCTGAAAATTTGCTCCTCGCATTTCCTAAGGGTGTCCTGGAAGTACTTGTCCACTTTGCAGACGAGCAGTTGCTCCCCAGCAGAGTCCAGTGCGACGGCGGCCGTGGGCGGAGTGCGAGCCTGTTCTCAGAGCGGGCACCCACACGGTGGGCCTTCTGAGTTCACTGCCGCCGTCCATCCCGGCCCCTCAAGGCCATGACTAAGCAAGCAGAAGACACCTGTTCAGGCACTGTAAGAAAAATGTGACTGCTTGATGCTTGTGAAGACCCAAGGTGACACCTCTGTAGTGTGAAATGTGGGTTCAGGAACATTAAAAAATACCGCCGTAACTGTCTGTATCATTCTCAGTGTAGTGCTCAGGAAAGGTGAGGGAGGTACTTTAGTTCCCCTTTGCTTTTTCTCTCCTTTTTTTTCTTTTTCTAAAAAGCCACTGCTGGGTTAAGGGTAATGTAGGCCCCTGGCATCCGTTGGTGCTCCAGTGCCGTCATATGCCCTGGCGTGCAGACTTTACTTCCCCTTCCTTGAAAGGCCACGTAAGACAGCAGCGTCCACCCCTACCGGAGGATGTACGTCCAGCCTCTTGCATTAGGACAGCTTTTGTAGAGAGTGTTGTAGCGCTTCTTGGTCTCTGAGACACAGTACCCAGCACAGAGGCGGAGGGGTTTGTCTGGGCTCACGTTTTTGTCCACAGTTGCTGGCCCCACGGCAGGAAGGCGTGGAGGAGGGGCTCCGCAGAGGAGAACTGCTGGCCTGCGAGGGCCACGACGCAGAACGGAAGCGAGGAGCTGGGAGGGAGAGCTCCGCCCCGGTCACACTCCCGGTTACCCGCCTCTTCCCACAGCCCCTGCCTCCTAACGGCAGCTCAGCCATGGTGCCCCTGATCCCATCACCTTGCCAAAGTCCTTTCTGATAGCGCGTGGGGGTTTGAGTTGACATCTAGATACAAACCGTAACACATTTCATAAATCAACTGGTGCCTGGAAGGGTTAAGATCACAAAAGCTAAGGTGGTACGAGGGGCCCAAAGACTGCAGTGGAGATTCGGTACTAACCGAGTGAGGTAAGTTTAAAGTGTGCACGTGGTGTGGCGTCAAATCGTGTATCTCAGGATGCATCATTTGATAAATTTACATGTCTTTATTTTTTATTTTAAAGAGAATAAAAAAACCAACAAAACAACAGACAAAACGATACAAAAAAATGATACAGGGTTTCAAAACAAAATGATAGGAATTAATAGTGGTTATATTACATATTGTTATCTTCAACTACGTTGCTCGGATTACCAGGTATAACAATTCTTAATCCAATCTCACATAAACCCTATGAAGAGAAAGACCAAAAAAAAAACTCCCCACTTCAGAGATGATCTTCCCTAAGTGGCCCCCGTGGCCCTGTGAATTCCCAGACTGCCATGTACAGATGCTTACCTGGCTGGAGTTTGCTATCAGTGTTAAATACTTCCTGAAAGTGCTCCCTTTTTATTTCATTGATTTGACTTTCTTCTGATTTTCCTCCCACCTCTTTGACTACTACTTTTCAGGTGTTTTGCTGGATGCATTGTATTATCTATCTCTTCAATACCTGTAATTCCAAAGATTTATTCTCATGCCTCTATTTATAATATTCAGCATATTCTCCCGGAGCACTTTTCAGCTGGCACTTATGTGCCAATGACCCCAGATTTTCCTTGTAACTCAACCACCAGTAATGTGTGTGTGTGTGTGTGTGTGTGTGTGTGTGTGTCTTAAGCTAATCAGGAGCTTTTCCTGTTTCCTATGCAGACCTTATTCTGGGAACTAAAGCTCTGAACTCACTTCTTTTCATCCCCCAAGTCTTGCTACACACAACCAAACCACCCTGTTTTACTCTTTTTTTTACTAACATGTTCTAGAGAATACGTATTTTATCACCAAGACTCCCTCCTGTAAGTGTGTGCAGGTGGTAAGTCTTGTAACTTGCGTGACTGTTTGCCATGTTCCAGCAAGTGGTCCCCACAGCACTGGATGCAGAGTCATTAATGTCTTCAGATCCAATTGAATTGAAAACCTTAGTCCATACAATGAAGAATCAATTGAATGGGCTCATCCTTAAAATGCTGTTCTGCTGGAACCATTCTTACTACCAAATGCTGTATCAGTTCAACTTCAGTGAGAAAAGCGGAACCACTATGCATGTAGGTATGTATAAGTGTATGTTAAGTATTTATAAAATAAAGTTTTGCTAAAGGGCTTCGCCTTATGTGATTGTGTCAGGTAAGCAGTCTTTCTAAAGCAGTTGTCTCTGTGTGAATGCTGGGTAGCAGGATCCAGCCCCACCCTAGTGACATAGCACTAAAAACTGAAAACCAACAGTATCATTAGCATATGTTATTAACCAACATCCCGGGGAGAACCAGGATTTTAGGGAGCAGCTAACTTGGGGAAGAAGGTGAATGTTTTGTAGCGTTAGTGTAGGAGTAGCCCAGTGAACTTCAGTTGGCTTTGGAAATGGTTAGGATGGCTCTCTAGTTTTTGAAGACATGAATGCATGAAGAAAATGGGGTGTATATACACAGTGGAGTAGTACTCAGCTGGGAGTAAAGATACATTTGAGTCATCTGCAGCAAAGTGGGTGGATCTTGATGTCATACTACTAAGTGAAATACCCAGACCCAAAAGGTCACATATCACATGATTTCTCTAACAGAAGAGATTCATAAGTAATTTAAAGAGAAAATAAAAGGGAAACGATAGAAAACAAAGTGCTAGGCTGAAAGAAGGCAGGAAAAGTACCAGGTGAAGGAGGAAAGGAGAGGGAAGAGGGGAAGAGAGACGTGAAATTATCAGCATGTGATACATATGTACCAGTTTCCCAAGACAATTGCAATTATTAGGTATCACCAACATAAACTAATTTTTTGAAAAGGTGGTTCTCTAAGGAGAGCTTGTTCTATGCATGTCCAGCTGTTACTTGGGAAAATTTGATTTTGCTGACCAACAAGATGACAAAGATATACAAGGGCTACAGTAGAAAAACACTTTTTTCAGCATGTGGGAGCCAGTGAAGGAGCCCTTCTTTCTCCCCTTGGAAAGACTACCCCCTCACAAAGGGCAAGGATCCATTTACTCTCCATGTTCGCAGGGGCTGAGAGAACGCTTGACACAGAAAAGGGGGCTCTGTGAATACTTATTGACATAAGATAATCTGAGGGTAGAACATGAAGTTGCAGGAGAAACTAGGGGCGAGCGGTAGAATAAGATCATACACACGCAGAAAGGGCTGTCCAGAGCGCAGAGCTGACCAGTGAAAGGAGGAAACCATGCTGCTTTCTGAGACCAGGAAGGAGAGGATTTGTGTAAGAAGGAAAGTATTTAAAGCATAAAGAGAGCTCAGTGGGAGTTATTCCACCGTTCCGGCATTTCTACTTCTTGGGGAATTAGGAGTAGAATAAAATATTTTAGGGACAATGGTAATAATGTTACTTGAAGTGCTGGAGTGGGAAAAGTGTCTTTGGGATGCAGATTCCACAAGTTATATGCAGGAAATCGTGATGTTTTGTTTGGGAAACCCATTCAGTAAGGCTTCCTCCTCAAGCAGACCCCATCCC